ACCTTTCTTGTCTATTTCTTATGGGATGAAACTATGACAGGAAAAGAGCTAAGAGCAATATACTCAGTCCAAGTGTCTAGTGTATACCTTTGCCTGGAGACATGTTTGGGTGTCTGCCTCCATGTTAGCTACATGTATGTCTGATTTCCTAGAGGACACAGCCAGCCCACAGCTTTCTGCCTTTCCTTTCCCTGCTGGGGTTGACTTAGGACAACGAGATGTGCTGGGGTGGTAGGAAGAGCAAGCAAGCATCAAGAGTTCAAGATTCTGCCCTACACCCAGTCTGGGTCTCATCTGTGGAACAGTTCACCATAGAACTACAGCCAGGCAGTGGTGGTGCATGCCTTCAATCCCAGCACTTGGGAAGCAGTGGATCTCTGAATTTGAGGCCAGTCTGGTCTACAGAGTGAGTTCCAGGACAGCCAGGACTACATAGAGGAACCCTGTCTCAAACCAAAACAAAACAAATTGAAAAATAAAATAAAACTATAGAATGAAGGTTAGTTTACAGAAGGAATATGGTCAATACTTTTTTTACATTTATTTAGTGTGTGTGTGTGTGTGTGTGTGTGTGTGTGTGTGTGTGTGTGTGCATGTGCAGGTCAGAGGACAACGTGTGAGAGCCAGTTGCCCCTCCCACCATGTGAGTCTCAGGGATTGAACTCACATCAGCAGGTTTGGCAGCAAGCAGCATTTCCTTCTGAGCCATCTTGCTGGCCCCTGAGTTAAGTGCATTTTAGAGGTCAAAGTGGGAGACACTCAAATCCAGGCTCTTTGGGCTCAGACAGAACTGAGTCTGAATCCCAGCTCTGCCGTATATGGGCTGTTCGTTCTTGAGTTACTGAACCTCTCTTGGGAATGTTAAGACAATTAAAGGAACTACGTGAAGTGTTGAGGATCATGGTGTCTGGTAAGTAAGTGGTCAATAAATACCTGTTTCTGTTCTTTTCTGGAGTTTTCTGCTATCATACCCTACCACTCCTGGGTCCAGCAGACGTAATGACTGATTGAATTCATTTAAACCACATGTCTAGGTAGTTCTGGCCTAGAATTGGGGATGCTATAAGAAAACCTAGCCGTTCCTTCAGTGCAGGTGAGCGGTTCCCTCCACCCTTACACCCTCCCACCCTCCTCTACTGTGGAGCTTTGAGACCTTCTAGTCACGTGTCCACACGCAGGTAATCACAAGTTCAATGCTTTCTTCCATCTGGACTGTCTCCAGCCTATGCCAGGGCCGCAGCATGCTGAGTTCAGCAGCATTAGGCACAGGGCAGGGCTGGGTCACGTCAGGCCTCAGCTCCTTGACATGTCTATGCCTGCTTGCCCAGCCCCAGGTCAGCTCAGGCAGCTGTCCTCGCGGCTGATACTCTAGGTGGGGATCTCTGCTCCTGGCATGGGTGGCCTTGAGATCTTGGAGCAATAGAGGGACAGGAGACCTCCATGACTCCTGTCTCCTCAAGGACACCTAGAATGGTTGAGTTCCAGGGTGGACAATACAGAAGGAGTTGTGGGGTAGGGCGGGAGGCAGCTCGGGTTGGTGGGGTGCCTGTCTTGGGAATCCCCTAGAACCTGTTAAAACTGGCGGCGTTTATGCTCTCCTGAAATATCTCTGACCTGGAGGGAATGAAGGAGGGGTCAGGGTGCAGCCAGGATTGCAGGCTGGGAGATGCTCGGAAAGGGAGCTCAGGGTGGCCCAGGGCCCAGGGCCTAGGGAAGGCTGGAAAGGGTCTGCCCTCCACTCCAGGTCATGAAACCGTCATCCTGACACCCTCGTCCCATGGGGACAGAGAGCCCATTTGGTGGTTTCCCAGCTCCCGAGCTCAAGGTGGCCCAGGTGGGAGTGATTTAAGCTAGGAAAGAAAGACCCTGTGGAGTCTTGTGTTTATTTTGATATCAGGTCTCCTTATGTAGCCCAGGCTAGATTTAAACTCATTATCTAGTGCATGCAGTCCTCAGACTTGCCACACTCCTTTTGCCTCAGCTCCCCAAATGCTAGGATTCCAAGCACATACCGCCACACCTGGCCCCTGGTGGGTCTTTGTGATATTTCCCTGACATCTCTAGGCTTCTCTGTTTGGGATCAGAACTAGGAATTTTCCTACTGAAAAAAAAAAAAAGTTGAAAGGAAGGGAGCAATTGATAGATTGTAGCCAAAGTAATGTGTTTAAGGAAATTTCTGCTTCATGCTGGCCAGGGCTGGGAATGTCTGGTCAAAGAGCTGGTGACGGCCAGGGTCTCTGTAAGTAAACAGGCCGCCTCTGATGGCCGCCCTGAGCTCATTTCCCTCAGCAGTGTGAGATGGAGAATGATGTCACCATGAGTGGGGCCTTCTGGTCATGGAGTTTGTCAGTGAGCGGGACGGAGGTCACACGATTTCAGACAGCTGGTGCCACTGTCGGTTATTGGGAACAGCTGCTTCCCATAGAAGCCGCTGGGATGCCCTCCTACGCATCTTCTAGGATGGGACTCCAGCCACATCCATGACCCCACAGCAGAAGTGTTTCTGGGGATGCCTGGGATTAACTGTCCCAGCCCTTACTTTCCATGTTAGGCCTTGCCCTCCTCCAGGAGCAGGGCCTCCCTTGGCCTAAGGAGGGTCACTGAGGGTGAGTTCATTTATAAAAAGTGGTCTTTAGAGGCATAGGTTTATGTCCTGTCCTCCAATCCCCCCACCCCGACCAGAGCTTGGACAGTGGCAACGTGCAACCCAGCCTGTCTCCTGGGGCCAGGCAGCCAAGTCCAGCAGGGGAGTTTCCATGAGCAGAGAGCCCACGCTGGGGGGACTGGGGTGGGGAGCAGGCAAGCCACAAAGCCCTCTCTGTGATCCCACGGGCTCTTTCTGAGCGCCGCCACCCCAGGTGAGGCTTTTATGGGGTCCAGAAGCCCTACAGCAGTCTCTGCAGCTGCCAGGGGTGGGGACAGGCTCACCAGTCTCCCCGCTCCCCCGCACCACAAGACTTCACTTCCTGGCGGGAGAGCCATGAGCAGTGAAACTGAGTAGAGAGTGGGCCAGACACTTCTTGGAAGAAAGCCTGGGTCTTTTGCCTTGTTGTCACCCCAGGACTTCACTGTGGACTCATCAGTCAACAGACACTCACCAAAGAGCAACCCACCCAACTTAAGGGCTGCCTGACCCGGTCCAGGCTGAACCAAGACCTCAGGCTGGCTGACAGGCTTGTCAGCGACTCTGATGTGCCGCTTGTCTGACCACGAGGCCAGTCTGCTGCTCATCTCCTTCAACAGATTCTCCCTCGCTGCCAGACTTGGTTTGTGCCGAATCATTGCTGGATGCAGGAGATATAGGCACAAGGATGGCAGACAAGAGCCCTGCTTTTAGGGAGCTGGCAAAGAACGGTGATGAGTGAGATCCACACGTTTTCTATCAGGAAGGGTGAAGATGGGGTTCCGTGGAAGACAGCTCTCTACAGACCGTACCCTGATTGCAGTGTGGGATGGAGAATAAGAAAGGGCTATGCAGGGGTACGTGGAAGAAATGCCAAGTAGAGAGAAAAGCAACACCAAGGCACAGGGCCCCCTAAACTAAGAACAATGAGAGGACCCAACACCCAGACATTAGGCCCCCTAATCTTAGAACAATGAGAGGACCCAACACGGAAGCATGGGGCATGGGAGCAGGGGAAAGTGGTAGGGACGTGGCTGGAGAGCAGGGATGGAGCTGGCCAGACAGGGCTTCATGAGCCACAGGAAGGACTGAGGTATGAGGGGAAGACCTGGGAGACTCTAGCAAAAGTGGGTCACCTCCAAGAACACAGAGATAATGGAATACATATCGAACATCTGAGGAAGAAACAATGCCAATTTTACATTAAAAACTGATAAGGAAGGACTACTTCCCCACTTATTCCACAAAGCCAGCATCGCTGTGATACCAGATACAAAGATATTCTAGAAAATGAAAACCACACGTCAGCCAGTCCCAGTGGCCCAGGCACTTGAGAGGCTGAGGCAAGAGGGTTGCTGAAAATTCCAGGCCAGCCTGGACCACGTAGTGAGTTCCAGTGTGAACACCAGTCCCCAAAATGAAAGATAAATATCAATAAGAGAATTACAAAACATAACCAACAAAAACTTCAATCTAGAATACAGGGGGGTTTGTTTTAAATTTTTTTTTTTTTTTTTTGGTTTTTCGAGACAGGGTTTCTCTGTGTAGCTTTGCGCCTTTCCTGGAACTCGCTTTGTAGACCAGGCTGGCCTCGAACTCACAGAGATCCGCCTGGCTCTACCTCCCGAGTGCTGAGATTAAAGGCGTGCACCACCACTGCCTGGCTTGTTTTAAATTTTTAATTTTATAATTTAATTTATAATTATTATATATGTCAAGAGGATAACTCTGTGGGGCGAATTCTCTCTCCACCCTTATGTGGGTTCTTGGGATTGACTCAGACCATCAGGCTTGTGCAGCCCGGGCTTTTACCAGCTGAGCCATCTTGCCAGCCCTAGAATACAGGTTTTTAAAAGCAGCTGGGTGTGGCGGTGCATGGAGCAGAGGCAGAAGATTAGAAGTTCAGCACTGACTATCCTTAACCACCCAGCAAATGTGAGTGAGGCAAGCCTGGGCTATAGCAGATCACAGTTCCTAAAGAGTGAGAGCTGACAGTGACCTCTTGCTTACACACTCATGCACACACACACCTTGGTATACACATGTACACACACACACACAACAGAAAGATGCTCCTTGTTTAGCAGGAGAGTGTAAATTAAACCTTAATGAGTACTGCTGAACAGACACTAGAACAGCTACAGTTAAAAAGAAGGGCCACGGAACCAGGAAGCCAGCAGCCTGCAGAGCAACATCCCTAAGTTTTATTTTATTTATTTATTTATTTATTTATTTATTTATTTATTTATTTATTTATTTATTTATTTATTTATTTATATTTATTTATTTTTCAGAGCTGAGGGCGGAACCCAGGGCCTTGCGCTTGCTAGGCAAGCGCTCTACCACTGAGCTAAATCCCCAAACCCATACCTAAGTTTTATTGTGACTACTTCGCTATGTATCTGGCCCGTGTCCCTCCATCTGTGAGAGACACATCACAGTGGTTGGAAACACAAAGAGAACGTGAAAGACTACTACCAGAAATGGATGGAAGAGCAGGCCCAGAGCCTGACTGACAAAACAATGGTTGCATTTCACCAAGGAAAGATACCTCCAGCTCCATTCTCTGCTCCTCCTCCTGCAAGGGCCATGATCCCACCTCTTCCCAGTCTCCCGGGTCCTCTTTGCCCTGGCATGATGCCTGTACCCCACGTGGGAGACCCTCCCATGATGCTAATAATAAGCCCCCCTCCTCCCGGGATGATGCCTGTGGGACCTGCTCCTGGAGTGAGGACTCCCATGGGTGGCCACATGCCCACGATGCCTGGGCCTCCAATGATGAGACCTCCTGCTCGCCCTATGATGGTGCCCACTCAGTCTGGCATGACTCGGCCAGACAGGTAGAGTAGAAAGGCTATTTATCAGTTTTGTATTTCTTGTTCTGTTTCACCAGGAGGTCACCGTGCTGAGCCCAAGAGTCTTCTAGCTGTATGATGAGGAAGACTAACCCCTTCCTAACAGAGACAATAGCTTTGGAGGGAAGAAGTGGGATAAATGAGGTGCAGCTTTCACTTATATCATGAAATGTGAAAATAAAATTGTCAGCTGTTTTAGTTTAAAAAGTGGTAGCACGTCACGTGCTACCCAGATCCTGGAACAAGTCAGTTATGACACTGGTAATGGGAATGTAAGTAGTACAAACACTGTTTTCGGAAAACAGCCTGACAGTCATTCAGGAAGTTAAACATAGACCTACGAAAGTATTTACCCAAATGATGGCAGAAGTCCACACAAAGACTTGTAGGTACATGACTGTTTCCAGAAACCCAATGTGCATCATCGTCAGAAGAATGCATAAAGAAATTGAGATACATTCCTCAGCAAGAAAAGGGACCAGTCACGAATAGAGTGAAGAACATGGATGAGACAGACTCTCAACCATGAAGCCTCATAAAATGAGTAAATATAAAAATGAATATATCTGGAGTCCAGTCGAAGAGAGGGGGGAGGGATCCTATGAGCAAAGGGGTCAGGATCATGATGGGGAAACCCACAGAGACAGCTGACCTGAGCTAGTGAAAGCTCACGGACTCTGGACTGACAGCTGCGGAACCTGCATGGGACCAAACTAGGCCCTCTGAATGTGGGTGACAGTTGTGTGGCTTGGGCAGTGTGTGGGGCCACTGGCAGTGGGACCAGGATTTATCCCTACTGCATGAACTAACTTTTTGGAGCCCATTCCCTATGGAGGGATACCTTGCTCAGCCTAGATACAGGGGATTGGGGCTTTGGTTCTGCCTCCCTTGATCTGCCAGACTTTGTTGACTCTCCATGGGAGGCCTTACCCTCTCTGAGGAGTGGATGGGGGATTGGAGTGGAGGAGAGCGGGAAAAGGGGAAGGAGGGGAACTATGGTTGGTATGTAAAATGGATAAAAAACTTTTAAATAAAAACTAATCTGTAGTGGGCTGGAGAGATGGCTCAGAGGTTAAGAGCACTGACTGCTCTTCCAGAGGTCCTGAGTTCAATTCCCAGCAACCACATGGTGGCTCACAACCATCTGTAATGAGAGCTGGTACCTTCTTCTGTATACATAATAAATAAATAAATCTTTAAAAAAAAAAAAAAACAAAAAAAACTAATCTGTAGTGACCTAAAGTGGATCATTGAAGCTTGGGGGTAGGAAGTGAGTTGGGAAGAGCTGGATTTCAAGGGAGCATGAGGTCCCCTGTAAGTAACGCCAATAAAGTCAGTGTTACACAGGCATGAAACCACACATGTACGGACGCACATGAGGAAACTTTAAGGGGTTGTTTGCCTCTTGTGTGTGTGTTTATGTTCAGAGGCCAACATCCAGTGTCTTCCTCAATTCCTTGCAACTTTATTTTTTTATTTAATTTAATGTTTTGAGTCCTGGAACTTATATAGACCAGGCTGGCCTTGAACACCCAGTGATCCTCCTGCTTCTGCCTTCTGAGTGCTGAGATTACAGATGTGTGCCACTGTACTCAACTTTTAAATAGGAGCCAGGTCGTGAACTCAGGTCCTTATGCTTTACCACTGAGCTATCACCCCAGCTGCTTACCTTTTTTTTTTTTTTTTGAGACAGGGTTTCACTGTGTAGCCTGGAACTCAGTCTGTAGACCAGGCTGGCCTCGAACTCGCAGAGATCCAGTTGCCTAAGTGTTAGAATTAAAGATGTGTGCCATCACTGCCTGGCTGCTCGTTTACTTCTTGATGTGTCATTTCTTTGTTTTACTGATGACCTAATGGATATGTGAATATGTGTGCATGCATGTGTGCGTGTGTCTATGTATATATATGTCAACTTTAACAGATTGTACAATGTGACATATTAATTATATGCTAACTATATCTCTAAAAAAAAGCTGCTTCAAAATCAGAAGGTAGGGCTAAGGATACAGTCAATTAGTACAGGACTTGCCTAATGTGCATGAGGCCCTGGATTCAATCCCCAGCACCCAGGGCATGGAGGTGCACACCTGTGATCCTAGCATTTAGGAAGTGGACACAAGAGAATCAGAAGTCCAGGGACATCCTCAGATACATCAAGAGTTTGGGCCCAGTCTATTATGTGAGGACCTGTCTGAAAAAGAAAAGAGAGCCGGGCCTGGCGTCCCAGACCAGACATATAGGGCTGGGGCTGCAGCTGGCCTGACTTGTGTGGGAGAGCCTCATGGGGCCGGGAGGTAACTGCAGACAGGAGCCTCTCACTCCTCCCGGCCCTGACTCAGTCTCTGGCAGTGGGCCATCCACACAGCAGCCAAAGTGATCTTGAAGTTGCAAATCTGTTCCCATCACTCTTCAACATGTGAGCCTCTAGCAGCTTCCTCTGATCCACAGAGCCCCGCGGCCCCCATCCACCTCTGTGTCTTGTCTCTTATTTGCTGTCTCCAGACACAAACTGCCTCTCAGGCCGGTGTCCATCCTGCCCCTGGTGTCTTGACCGGGTCTTCCCTCATGCTAGAAAGTTCTTTGACCCTTTTCACCAAATTAGTGTCCACTGAGGTCTCAGATCTCAACTCAGATTTCTCTTCTGTAGGATTTCCCCTCAGTTCTGTTTGAGGCCATACAGATGTGTGATGAGAATTCTCATGGCTTCCTGCCTCATCTTCCATAATACTATAAAATGCATATTTATATTGTTTTTCAAATATTTAAGGGCCTGAAAGATGGCTCAGTACTTGTACAAGCTTGGTGGCCTGAGTGTGATTCCCAGAAGAACCCATGCAATAGTGGAATGAGAGAACCCACTCCCATCACTCTTCAACATGTGAGCTGTCATGTGACTTCCACATGTGCGCCATGGAATGTGTGCGCCCCCCCCCCCCCACACCATGCACATATACACATAATAATAAAATAAAATGAAATTTAAAGAGGCATGGTTTTGTTTTGCTGCCCGGGATGGCCCTGAACTCCTGGTACAGGCTTGTAATCCAGCTATGCACGAGGTCATGGCAGAGAATACTTGATCTCAGGTGTTTGAGTTCACCCTGGGGCGCATTCTGTCTGTCTGTCTGTCTGTCTAGCTACCTGTCTGAGATGGTCTGATCATTTGTATCTATTTAACTAGATGTGGCGAAGCAGCACTGTGGAACATCTGAGGCAGGCCCAAGAGGCAGCTTGGCTTCCTGGTGGCTTTCTTTTTGGATGTTCCCTTTCAAAAGACAGTTGCCAGCATGGTCTGGTGGCACAAGCTTTTTATACCAGCACTAAGAAGGCTGAGGAAGGAGAATTACCATGAATTCAAGGCCAGCCTGGGCTACATGGCAAGACTCACAAAAACAAACAAAAGAGCCAGCAACTCCCCTTTCCTCCAAGGACAAAGTCAAATGGTAGTTGCTCTGCTGTGAGGATGCCTGGGTCACAGACAGAGATCCACGGAAGTTCTTGAGAAAACTCCACTGAGTACTTGGCCCATAGTCAGCACCAACTGCTGGGCATGAACTGCAGAAGCCTTTAATATGCTTCTAGGTCTTAGGCCATTTCCTATTGCTAAAACAAAACAGTGGAATCTGGATACTTTACAAAGACAGGATGTCGATTAAGTTCACGGTTTTCGAGCCTGAAAGTCGAAGATTTTCAAATTCTGCAAGAACTACGTTAACCCTGCCGAGGACAATGCTCCAATTCCCTCTGATTAGGCCCCACTTTCTAATAGTTCTATCATCAACATCTTCACACTGGGCGCTAAGCTTCTAGCACATGATTGTGATCAGACCACAAATAAATCATGACACCATATAATTACAGTCATATGAGTCTGAGTAGGGGCTGCCCAGTGGTGCCCCATTTCTCCTGGAACCACGAGAGTCAAACAATTATCATGTAAGTCACTAAGTTTAGGGATGGTATGTTCAGCAGCAGTAGTCAGTGGGAATAGAGTTTAGTAAATACTCCGCTGTTTTGTTTGAGACACGGTCTAGTTAACCTGGGTTGGCCTTGAACTCATGATCCTCTTGCCTTAGTTACCCAAGTACTGGGGTGGCAGGCCTGCACTCCCATGCCTCCCCCCAGTGAATACTTGGAATGAACAGAAGTGGAGAGATCTGGTTTACAGTGTTTGAGCTCTTTGTAGTTTTAGCTGACAGTTCTGTTTCTCCTTCCACAAGAGAACTGGAGATTTGGGAAGTGCAGGAAGAACTCTGCTCAAAACAGGAGTCATGGTGGCATCAGAATTAACTCTGAAGCCCGGTGGTGGTGGTGGTGGTGGTGGTGGTGGTGGTGGTGGTGGTGGTGGTGATGGTGGTGGTGGTACACGCCTTTAATCCCGGCACTTGGAAGGCGTAGGTAGGTGGATCTCTGAGTTCGAGGCCAGTCTGGTTTACAGAGAGTTCCAGGACAGCCAGGACTATATGGAGAAACCCTGTCTCAAAAACAAAACAAAACAGAACAGAACAAAACAACTTACCTCTGAGGCTTGGTTAGTAAAGTTCTAAGCTCCTGCCTGAAGCCCTGAGTTCAAAGCCCTGGGTTTGATTCCCAGCACTGCATACACCAGGCATGGTAGTGCCCTGTGATCCCAGCCTGTGGGAGGTGGAAGCAGGAAGACCCTGAGTCCGAGGTTATCCTTAGCTATACAGCAAATTCAAAAACACACAAGGCTCTGTCTTAAAAAAAAAAAAAAAAAAAAAAAGGAAAGAAAGAAAGAAAAAAGTGTTCCCTCACTGGAGCTTTTAATGCTGGGTGAAAGAATAGTTTCAGAACAACAGCAATTGTGCACATTTTCAAATGTGCTCTTTTTTGAGGGCTCTATCTTTTATCAGATTCTCAAAAGTATCTGTGGTCCAGACACAGTAAGAACTATTTTCTAGTCCAATTATCTCAATTTTTAGGTTAAGAAATAGAGTTCCACTTCCTTCTGGAAATAATTCTGGATAAAAGAAAAGGAAAAAAAAACTGTAAAAAATAGGCCTGAACTGGCAAGAAGGCAAGAAATATTCAAGCCAAAAATATTTATAATCCCATAGCAATCTGAGCTATGAAACTGTCTTTTGCCTTAAGGACATTTTTATAATTTTAATTTTTACTGTGCTTAAAAATTATGAGATTTTTTTTTCCTTCTTTCCACCATCCCACCCCCCAACCCCTGCCACAACAGGGTTTCTCTGTGTAACAGCTCTGGCTGTCCTGGAACTTGTTCTGTAGACCAGGCTGGCCTCAAACTCACAGAGAGCCTCCTGCCTCTGCCTCCCGAGTGCTGGGATTAAAGGTGTGCGCCACCACCGCCCAGCTTTGAACTTGAATTTACATGGTCTTATGGGATGGAGTAATTTGTGAGAACTGGTAGTGTGCTAGGCAGGCTCTCCAAAAAACCTGAAGTGCTGTGGTTTGAACATGTCCTGCCTAAATGTATGTGGTAGAAACTTGGAGATTGGAGGCAGAAACAAGAGAATCCCTGGAAACTTCCAGGTTAGCTAGTGTGGCATACACAGTGGAAAAACAAAGAGACTATTTAAAAAAAAAAAAAAAACTTATTTACTTTTATTTTATTTTTTATTTTATGCGTGCCTGATGTCCATGGAGACCAGAAGAGGGTACCAGATCCCCTAAAACTAGAGTTACAGATGGTTGTGATCCACCATGGTGGATGGTGGGTGCTGGGAATTGAACCCAGGTCCTCTGGAAGAGCAGCAAGTGTTCTTTTATTTATTTATTTATTTATTTATTCATTCATTCATTCATTTATTTATTTGTTTTTAATGATGAATGCTGTTTATTGAAGGAGGGAGGAGGTCTTAAATCAGGCTTACAGCACAATGGGAGAACCCCGGAAGGCAGAAGTTCACTACTGATGTTTTACAATCTTGCATCTTAGCTGTTAACGCCCAATATGCAGGATACACAGACAAGGAACTTCCCTTAAGCATTCAGGAGGGTGGAACCTGGCAGGGAATTAGCATAGGGAGGATATCAAGGTCCAGGTCAGCAAGCAAGCAGCAAGTGTTCTTAACCAATGAGCCATCTCCCCAGCCCTGAGACCCTATCTTTCTTTTTTCTGAGGGGATGGGGTTTCAAGACAAGGTCACCCCATGTAGCTTTGGTTGTCCTGGAATTCACTCTGTAGACCAGGCTGGCCTCAAACTCACTGAGATCCACCTGCCTCTGCCTCGAGTAGTGGAATTGAAGGTGTGTGTCTACCACCAGGCCCTGAGATCCTCCCTCAAAACAAGATAGAAGAGTAGGATTGACTTCTGAGGTTGTCCTCTGATTTCCATGCCATTCACATTCCCACAAACACATACAATTAAAATTTAAAAAGACGTATATTTTGCAAACTCACAAAGGAGAAAAAATTAGGTAGGAAAAAGAAGTACTTGTTGGGAGTGGCCAAGGTAGGAGGATTGTGTGTTCAAAGTAGCCTGATCAGGAGTGTGAGAACCTGTTTCTAAAATCAAAGGTTGAGGGCTAGGCCTGTAGTGGTAGAGCATTTGCCTAGCATGCCCAGGGCCCTTCTCAGTAAGGGAAAGAAGGGAGGGAGGGGGAGGGAGGGAAGGAAAGAAGGAACCTTTGGTTTGTTTTGCATGTGTGAAAACGTGGGTTTTCATGTGGGTGAATGTATGGGAGCAGGCGCATCTGTGCATGTGCGTGCACACGGCTGTTGAGGTCAGAGGACAACTTCAGTTACCTTTTCTCCAGTGCCACCACCACTGCTCCCTCCTCCTCCTCCTCCTCCTCCTCCTCCTTCTTTAGTTTTCCTGAGACAGGGTCTCACTTTGAAGATCAGGCTGGCCTTGAACTCACAGAGATCCACCTGCTTCTGCCTCCCAGGTCCTGGCATTAAAAGTATGTGCCACCACACCTGGTTGAAGTACCTTCCACTTTTTGTCGGAGACAAGGTCTCTCACTGTTTGGGATGTCACAAAGCAGGCTAGGCTAACTGGCCAGCAAGCTTCTGGCATCTGCCTGTCTCCACCTCCCATCTCACCGTCTCTGGGATGACAAGCATGTCCTGACATGTCTGGCTTTTTTTGTGGATTCTGGGGGTCAAACTCGGGTTCCCGGGCTTGTGAGACAGCACTTTACCAACCCAGCTATCTCTCCAGCCTCTGCAGCTTCCAGTTCTAAAGCCCGGAGCTTTGCTGGTGCTCACACTTGCCTCCCAGTGTGCCCTAGGTAGGAAAAAAAAAAACCAAAAACCTGGAGGCACCATATGAGAATAGTAAAAGGTGGGGAGGGAGGCGTTTTGGGGGAGGGAATCTGTGAACTGGAACAGCCTGGAGATTTTGATATGTGTTAAAGGTGTGTGCTAATAAGGAACTAGACGCCCCATTTGCCTATAGGGGGAGAGGAGGGAAGTAGGACTCTTCCTGACACACAGAACCAATTCACACTGAGTGCAAGCGTAGCAATCCTCTTTTTATCCCTTCAGGGTCTAGCCTGAGCTGAGTCCAGGCTGTCATTCTGTGGGTTGGGGGCCAGCGTGGACCTAATATCCACCATTGCCCAAAAGCTTGGCATGGAGAGCTGCAAGCAACCTTCAGAGCAGCTTCTGCAAGCCCCCTGTTCCTTCACCAGGAACCTCCTCTGAAGAGGGCAGTCATGTGGCTCAAGCCTCTGGGGGTGTCTCTAGCCCTAGGCTTTGTTCACTGGCAGTGGAGAAAGTGGCCTGAAAGCTTGAGGGCTCTGGTCTCTGCTGGGGCCAGGAAGAGGCTGAGCTTCTACTAGGTAGAACCTGGCTCTCCTAACTCCCTTCCTCTAGGCTGTGAAAGCCCCCTGCAGACCTTCCCTCCCCAGGAGGAGAAAAGCCCCTATCAGCTCTCCCCCCACTGGTGGGATGATCCTTCCTTGCAAGGCACAGGCCACAAGCTTTCTCCATACTTAACCCTCGAGTGAGAGCACCTATTAGTTCCCAGGGCAACGAGGAAGATGATAGTGGCAGGGTGGCCTTGATCGCACAGCCCACTCCCACGGCTGACAGTCTGTCCTAGGGGCGTAGAGGCTATTGGTCCGCTGCCCAGATAGCTGGGTGCAGTCCAGGGAGGAAGGTGGTGACGGAGATCTCCTGGCCTGGGACAGAGCTAGTGGCTCCCAGGTATCTGCTATGGGCGAAGCTGACTTGGGAATTCTGGGCTTACCCATAGGGACCCTCGCTCTCCCTCGGTGTGCCTTTCCTCCTTGAGGTATGGGAGGAAATGGGTAGTATGGTAGGTATCTTTGATCATCAAAGCAGAAGTAGAGAGTCACCTCAGAAAGGGCTTTTCTGGCCAGGGACTAAGTGTGTGTGTGTGTGTGTGTGTGTGTGTGTGTGTGTGTGTGTGTGTTCATGTGCTCATGTGCACATATGTGTGCAGATATACATGTGTGAGCATGCATGTGGTAACCAGAGGTCAACCCTGGGTGTTGTTCCTCAGGAGCTATCCGCTTTATATTTTGAGAAAGGGTCTCTGGGACCTATAATTTGCCAGTGAGACTGACTAGTGAGCTCCCGGGATCTGCCTGTCTCTTCCCCAGGGCTAGGAAGATAAGCATACACTATTACACTTGACATTTTGTGGGGAGGGTGGGTGGGATTCAAAGTCAGGTTCTGGTGCTCCTGTGAAGAGCATTTTTCAGACTGAGCTATCTTCCCAGTCCTCACAGCTCCTGGATGACCCAAACATGTAGTCTGAGGGCCTCACAAACGCCAGGCAAGATAAGCACTATGGTTCTCCGGAGGAGACCGATGCAGCCCACAGAAGCAGAACCTCTTGGCCAAGGTCAGAGAATTGACAGAAGGCTGGGGGTGGGGCCTCAGATAGAACAGAGTCACAGAACCTATGTTTCTTGAGGGACCGTGAAGCCCCAGGCAGCCTGGGAACTCACTCCATTGGCTGGGAAGACATTTCTGTCACCTCTTTTTCTAGGGCTAGGCTGTGACTACTCCAAGGCCTAGAGTGTGGGTAGGTCACCTCTACTGGTTCAATCCTGGGTTCCTCTTTGGAAAGGCACACCCTTTGGTGAGGGGGAGGAAGCATTTTTGAGGTGAAATGTTGTCTAACAGCCATGAACGGAAAATATTAAAAGTCCAATGGCGCCAACAAGATTCATGCCAGAGACAGAAAGTACAGAGAAGAAGAGGAAACATCCTTGTTATTGAGGACCCAGGGGTCTGCAGGGAGTCAACTAGCGGTCACCCACACCCTGTATCCCAGGCCATCTCCATCTTCAGGACTAGCACAAGCCTCTCCTGGGCCAGAGGAAGGCCCTGGCATGATGACCTGAGGAAAGCCTGTGGGTCTGTTATGTTTGGTTTACCCGGTACTCTGGGGAGGGCAGAGAACACAGCAGTGTGGGCCATGGGCCATGGGCTATCTCAGTGGGAGTGTGAGAGGCCAGGCCTACTCTACACATAGTCAGAGCTTTCTGGGTGCTAAAAGGCCAAGAATGGGAAGCTAAGCCAGGATACTCTCTCCTGTAGGGCCTCTCACCACGGGGAGGGTGAGGGTGGGTGGGGGGCAAGAAAAACGTCAGTAGGTTGTGATTACAGTTCTTCTGGAGGAGTGCTCAGGGACTGTGGGGCAGAAGAGGGACCATTGGCTTAGCTTGGGGCTGTGAGGAGGGGCTCTCAGAGGAATGGATGGGTGCCTGGGGCAAGCCCTACTATCCATAGACAGTGAGGGAATTTCACAAATCTGGAGTCTGAGTCTGTATTCTTGGAAGTGTCTCTGTGTGTCTAGGGAAAGATTAACTGACAGAGATGCAGAAAAGGACTGAGTCTCTCCACAGGGAGCAGACAAACTTCAGGAGAAACACAGGTGCCTGAGAGACAATGTGCTGGGAACCCCACACATGACCTCTACGGAAGCAGCCAGCGCTCTTAACTGAACCATCTCCACCCCTCCAGCTCTCTTTTCTAGGACATTTTGATGGAACGATTGCTTGAGAGATCTGAAATATGCAAGAAGGGGTCTTGAAACTGCTTGGGAGAGACGACATGGAGTCACCATCTGTTCCAGGTACTGTCTCTGTGGAACAAATGACCCAAGTTTCTCTGCCTTAAGTGATAACCATTTTATCATGCCCCGCAGACTCGGTAGCTCAAGATTTCATGTAGGAATCAGCTGGACAATGTGTTCTTCCCTCCCCCCATTTGGAATACTCTTGGGATTTATAAACATCTCAGATTTTTTGCTTCTTTTTCCTATTTATTTAACATGTGTATGTCTATATGTTGGGGTGAGTGTATGCTATGTGAGTGCAGGTACCCAAAGAGGCCAGAAGAGGGTACTGTGAAGCATCTGATGGGGTTCTGAGAACTGAACTCCAGTCCTTTGCAAGAGCAGCAAGCACTCTGTGTCACTGAGCCAATCTCTCCAGCCCCGATTGTAGAAACCCCTACAGTTTTAAAACTTTTTATTTCATGTAGATGAGTGTTTTGCCTGCATGTATGTCTGTGTGTCACATGCATGCTTGGTGCCCCCAGAGGACAGAAGAGGGCATCAAGTTCCTGGGACTGGAGTTAAAGTTGGTGGTGGGCCACCACGTGGGAGCTGGGAATCAAACCCGGGTCCTTTGGAAGAGCACAAGTGCTCTTAACTGCGAGTCACCTCGATAGGCCCTTAAATTTTTTTGAATTCATTGTTTAAATTACAAAGTCCTAGCATTTAAAAATCTTATTTGTTTTTATTTTATGTGCATGGGCGTTTTTGCCTGCATGTATGTCTGCGTGAGGGTGTCAGATCTTGGAGTTACCAACAGTTGTGAGCTGCCGTGTAGGTGCTGGGAATTGAACCGGGGTCCTCTGGAAGAGCAGTCAGTGCTCTTAACTGCTGAGCCATCTCTCCAGCCCCCTAAAATTCATTTTATTTTGAACTATATGTATGTGTGTACATGTCTGTGAGTGGCTATGTGTATGTGAGTGCAGGTGTCTCCATGGATACTGGGACCAGTTCCAATTATGTCCTTTGAGGCATTAACTAAGACCACTTAATGACACTCTGCTGATGGGTGAGCTGGTAAAGAGGACCCAAGACAACATCACTCACATGTCTGCAGCCTTGGTGGTGACAGCTGGAAGCCGGGCTCAGTGGGGCTGTCGACAAGAGCTGCTGCAGTAGGCTTCTCTGGTATAGTGGTCTCGTGGTAATCAGATTTGACTTCTTTCAGCAGCTGGATCTCCCTAGAGCAGTGCTTCTCATAGATCTATAGAGCATGACCTCTCTTCAAAGGGGTTGCCTAAGACCACCAGAAAACAGATATTTATATTATGATTCATAACAGTAGTAAAATTACAGTTATGAAGTAGCAATGACCATACTTTATGGTTAGGAGGTCACCACATCATGAGGAACTGTATTAAAGGGTTGCAGCATTAGGAAGGTTGAGAACCAATGGACTACACTGAATGACCCAAGAGAAGCTGTATGGCATGAAAGTCATGAGGCCACCTGAGACTCAAGGTGAGAGAAGTTCAGTTCTTCATCTTGATGTGGAGTAGTGTACTCACTTTGTACAAGAATGGATGATATAGCTGGGCATGGTGGTACATACCTTTAATCCCAGCACCTGAGAGGCAGAGGCAAGTGGATCTCTGAGTTCAAGGCCAGCCTGATCTACAGAGCGAATTCCAGGACAGCCAAGGCTACACAGAGAAAGTCTGTCATGGAAAAAAAAGAAAGAAAGAGAGAGAGAGAGAGAGAGAAAGGAAGGAAGGAAGGAAGAAAAAGAAAGAGGAAAAGAATGAGCGATATAATGGAAGCCATCTTAGACACGGAGAGAGAACAGTTCTGAAGACATTGTCTGTCTGTGTACCTGGATCTAATTTTACAAGCATGATGGTATATGCATGTAATGCCAGCACTTTGGAGCCAGGGGCAAGAAGACTGATACAGTCCAAAGTCAGCCTGAGTTACAGTATGAGATCTCATCTCAAAAAATAAAGTAAGGGCCGGGGATGTTTCAGTTAATAGAATGCCTGCTTGTATGCATGGAGCTCTGGGTTTGGTCCATAGCACTGCATAAAACAGGGCATGGTGGTGCACATCTATACTCCTAGCATTTGGGAGGTGGTGGCAGGAGGCACAAGGTCACTTTTGGTCATACAGTGAGTTTGAGGCCAGCCTTGGCTTACATGAAGGCCTGCCTGGGTCTGGAAAGCCTCTCCAGGCCACAGGAGGGCACCCAGGGTGGGGGTGGGGGTGTCAAGAGTGTTAGAGACAGACAACACCGCCCTCTGGAGTCATCAGGGTCAGCCCATCCCACCTTCCCTGCCAAGCTTCTTTCCCAACAGCAGAGTGGGGATCCTTGACCATAGGATTTGGCCCCAGAAGGCCAGCTAAGCTGGGCCCCAAATTCTTCTGCTGCCTGGGTGGGAGTAGGGTTGATGAATGAATTTCCAGTGCGTTCCAAGCAGGGGATTGGAGCTGCTTGCAGACAAGCTTGGCCTGCAGAAGTCCCAGATGGCTGACCCATCCAGGCCAGGCCTTGGATAGTACAGGCCTATGGCTGCCTCCCAATCCCTGTCTGTCTCAGGGTCCTGGCTGAGGGAGCAGCAACCTCTTCCTCAGAGGGGATCTTGGAGGAGAGGCTTGGGAAAGCTCCGATGCCCTGAGTCTAGTTGTATATAGCTCTTGAGAAGAGACTGATGGGAGCATGGGAGAGGAGCGGGGCAGGAGCTAGGGGGACCCAAACAGCAGGGCTAGAGTTAAGACCCAGAGAGTCTGTCTTCCTCTCCCATCAGTCTTACCTATCTTTTTTGTTGTTGTTGTTGTTTTTGTTTTGTTTTGTTTTTCTAGACAGGGTTTCTCTGTGTAGCTTTGGAGACTGTCCTGAAACTCACTCTGTAGCCCAAGCTGGCCTCGAACTCACAGAGATTCACCTGCCTCTGCCTCCCGAGTGCTGGGATTAAAGGCGTGCGCCACCACCGCCCGGCCAATCTTACCTATCTTGCCAACCTCCGAAGTCATACTGCTTTTCTAGCAAGCCTCCTGCCCCACAGGGCCATTTCTCCTGTTCTCTCCTTTCCATATGTTAACAGACCTTGCTCTCCTAGAGCTGGGGGGATGGGGAGTGGGGTTTAGGAATGCGCTCACTCAGTCCAAACTCTTATTGCAAGGTTGGAGACACTGAGGCCCAGGATTACTTGGGATGTTACTAGTCCAAGTTCACAAACCAGAATGAGTTACAGGACCAGGACTAGACTTCTGAACCCCAGGTTCTTTTTTTTTCCCCCTGCCCTTTATTTTAGTGATTGTAGCTCAGTCTCTCTCTACCTGTCTGTCTCTTCCTCAGACCTGCTCACCTGGGCTTCATTCCTTTCATACAGCTGCTGTCAAAGCCTGAGCTGAGGACTGAGGATGTGGTTCAGTTGGTCGAGTGCTTGCGAAGCACTCGACAGCCTGACACACTCTTGTAATCTTAGCACTGTGGAGGTGAGGCAGGAGGATCAGGAATTCAAGGCCATCCTGGGCTACATAACAAGTTTGAGGCCAGTCTGAGGTTACAATGAGACCCTTTCTCAAAACAAAACAACAACAACGAAAAGCAAACCACCAAGCCTTAGCTGAAGCCACTTCATGGATTGGCTCTGATGAGCGGGTCGGGCTGGGGCCGACTATATTTACAGAGCCTGTTGGCTAAGGCCTGGATGCTGGATTGGAAAATAGGCTCCATAAGAAAAAGCCAAACAGACCTGTGTCCTGTGTCAACTCCAGAGTCATTGCTACTCAGCATCCTTCCTCTGTCCCTCCTTTCAGGCCGTGTCCCCACTAAGAAACTAAGTTTCTGATCCTCTGCTTACACACCGAGAAAAGCAGAGATACAATCAGGCTTGAGCATGCATGCCCACACAGGCCGACAAGAGGATCCATACTGCTGCATTGTGGGAACTGGTCCACGAGATGCTCTTTCCTCTGAGTGCAGAGACATGTCTATGATGTATAATATTGATTGTAAACCTTACAGGTTCTGACATCACTTAGGAGACAAGCCTCTGGGCATGTGTCTGATGAAGTTTTAGAAGTGAGTTAACTGGGATAAGAAGACCTGTACTAAATGTGTGTGGGTGGTATTGTTCCATGGCAGGGATCCAGGACTAAATAAAGAAGTGGGCTAAGCTGTAGCATCCACCTCTCTCTGCTTCCTGACTGTGGTTGGAATGTGACCAGCCACCTCAAGTTCCTGCTGCCGTGACTTTTCCGCCATGATGGACTGTGGATCCTTATGCTGTGAGCCAAAATAAACCTGTTCTCTCTTGTCGTTCTTATCCTGGCTCCGCAATGAGAAATGTGACTAACACAACATCCTTCTTGTGGCTTCCCGCTGCCCAGCCAAGCTAGCCATCTGCCATGAAGAAGAGCTCAGTCAGGCTTTGTGGAGTGACCTTGTTGTGGACGGCTGTAGGTACCAGCCTCTACCTCCAAGTGTTGGCATGGGACAGGAAGCCCAGGCCAGCTGGATGAGGCTGTGACCTGAGGCAGCACTCGGGAGACCCCCTCTTCATCTTCTCCTTCCAGCTGTGGTTCTCCGTCTTTTCAACCAGTTATCTTCGAAATGTGGTCTGAGGACCACCAGCTCCATCGCAAACCCAAGTCTCATGTTCTACAAAGTCTGTGTGGGGGGCCAAGAAACCTGGACTTATTTGTTTGTTTGTTTGTGTATGTGTGCCTGCATGAGTATATGTGCACCATGTGCACGCCTGGTGTTCATGGGAGCCAGAGGGTATTGGATATCCACCTGGAACTGGAGTTACAGGTGGTTGTGAACTGCCCGATTTGGATGCTGGAAACTGAATATAAGTCTTCTGGAAGAGCAGCAAGTGCTCTTAAGCTTCAAACCATTTCTCCAGCCTCCAGTTCCCAGAAGCCCAGATTTTACTAGCCTTCTGAATTTTTTTTTTTTTTTGAGGAGGGGTCTCATGTAGCCCAGGCTAACTTCAAACTCTTTGTATAGCTGAGGACCATCCTGTATTCCTGATTGCCCTGCCTCCATCTCCCAGGTTCTGTGATTACAGGTATGGACCACCACACCTGGTTTATGCAGATGGAACTCAGGGCTTTGTTCAGGTCAGGCAAGTGCTCTACCAATGGAACTACACCACCCCCCCTCCCACCTCCCCCACCCTGTTCCCTTCTAGCTGTTTCTTATGATGCTAAAGTTAGATAGCCATGGCCTAAGACAACAGGGAGCCTCAGGCTAGAGCTGGAAGAAGGAGATGGGGGAAGCCCTAAGGTACAGGCAGCTGCTTAGTCATCTGTGGGTCAGGCTTGCTGGTAGACATGCATACAGGCAGACACACACACACACACACACACACACACACACACACACACACACACACACACGGCAGGGTCAAAGCACCTCAAATGCTGAATCTCTCTGGTCTCGGTGGGTGCAGGGAGGCACACAAATGAAAATGGGGAGGGCTAAGGATGAACTGTTCTTAGGTGATAGCCTGTAACCCAGGATCTTTGTCCCTCATCCCTTCTGAGGGTCCCTGAGTGCTCCTTCAAAGGCCAGAGAAGCTGAGTCATTGCCCAGCTCAGACCAGACACACCCATCCATGGAGGCTGAGGTGACCTGTGTGCCAAAGAGAGTATGTGCTAAGATCTTGTTGTGCATGGGCTGGCCAGCTGGGGAATGTGGGGGATCAGCAGACCAAGCTTAGGCCAGCACGCACCATCCCAAGCTATGAAATGCTGCCCAGATGGAGAATTCCCCTTGGCCCTTTCCCAGGACTGGGTCCAATGGCCAGCCTTCCTCCTGACCCCTGTCTCTCTGACACAGACTGTGGTGCCTAGGCTGTGGCCCACTTGGGCCATCCCTGCTCTATGGCGTCCTTCCCCACCCCGCCCCCCCACATCCCCAAGGATCTTGATGTTAAATTCTTGCCCCTGTGAGCTGCTGGGGATGTGGGGAAGGGAGGGAGCCTCATGCTCAGATCTGGTTTCCCTGCTTCTTCCCGTGGCTGGCTGCCACGGGCTGAGCCACCAGCTGTGCTATATAAGGCCCGCGGCTGGACTGCTGGAGAGGTGAAGAAGACTTGGACCCCAAGCTAAGAGCCTTGTTCAGGACACGGTGAGCTCCAACCCTCTCACCCCATCCCTGCATCTCACTGCCTGGCTCTGCTCCTACCCTCATCCATAGACACCTCATTGTTCTTTTTTTTTTTTTTTTTTTTTCTGGCTGACCACCTCATCCCCCACGAAAGACGCCCTTTTCCTGCTTTGACACTTCTCTTTTGTCCCTTATTATCCAAAGTCGTGCCTCAGGCCTGCCCACCTGAAGTCACAGTCCCCGCAATGGCCCCATCTTGGTCTCTGTACCTTTTCCTCCTGTGGCCGGCCACTGTGCACTGTCCAGGAGCTCCGGGGAGCGTCGGCTGGGGAGCCTGAGTGTCAGGCCTACTGGGAGGAAATGGTGGGATTGTAGAGAGCCTCTCTGCTGGCTGCCAGATGGGAAATGGCTTTTCCACAAGGTGCCTCAGGCCACCCCGGCCTCTCTGACAGTCTTGGAGCTGTCTCTGGCTTTGCAGGCCTGCTCAGAGCCCGGAAGCTTGGAGTAGCCTGAACCAACCTGGTACAGCGGTTTCAGGGCTAGACAGTCTGCATTGTGGGTTTTTTCGTCTCCTGAGACATCCAAAAATTTAAGGGATCTTTTTCTTCCAGAAAGGAGACGTTTTCTTCCTGTTCCTTCCGCACCAAACTTGGTAATTGAAGGTAACTTTTTTTTTTTTTTTTTTTTTTAAGTCTTTCTCTGTAGCTAAAGACATCCTGGAACTCACTATAATAGCCCAGGCTGGCCTCCAGCTCACAGACACCTACCTGTCTCAATCTGAGATTTTAGGTATAAGTCATCGTACGCAACTGGAGAGAATGGGTTTTTAGATCAGATTCTGGGTTGGAAAAAATACCCAGTTGAGAGGAGCCTGGGCCACTCATGCCCACCCCATAGTTCTTTAACATTATGTCTGGGCATGTTTTCCTCTCCCTGGTCCTGCAGCCCTGACTCTATGTTTCCAGTTATTGGGAGCCCTGGGTTCTCACTATGCACCCCATCCAGTTCCCTTTAGCTGGCTCCTGGCTGTGGTGCTCCTAGCCAGGTCGAAAACAAACAGGCCAGAATGGGTTCCAGCTGTGGCCCGTGCACATCTGGGAATGTGTTCTTGGAGGTGGTGCGGCTGAGGCATGGGTGACTTTCAGCCTGCCTGTCTACCCTAAGAGAGCCCGCTGTGGCTGGGGCCAGGACTGCATGGCCTTAATATGTCGCCACCTGTACAAAACTATGAATCCCACCAAAGGGTAGCGAAACAAAAGCCTGGGTCTTGAAAGTGATCAGTAAGCTACCCAGAAGGCCCTGGAAGTAAGCCAGGCCCTTCCTACTGTCAAGGAACTTCTTTATCTCTATCCTCCCTTGTGGCCTGCCTGCTGTGGTACCTGGCACATTTCTACATCTCCCAAACAGCTCGGTTTGGCCGTTCAAGCAGCTGTCACCTCAGTAAGACTCCATTCTATCTACCCTTCACCCTGGAGAGGTCAAGAGCTATTTCTGCTGGAGCCATAAGAGATGTGACTCGGGCTTGGGATGTAGTTTAGTTGGTAGAGTGCTTGCCTAGCTTGAAGGAAGCCCTGGGTTCCATCCCTACCACCACATAGAGCCAGACTGTATCCCAGCACTCAGAAGATGGAAACTGGAGAATCAGAAGTTCAAGATCATCCTTGTGTACACATTGAATTTGAGGCCAGCCTGGGCTACAGGAGACCATGTCTCAAAAAAAAAAAGTGATCCAGAAGTGTGGGATATGATACCTTTTGCTTCTTTGCAGATCATTGGCTCTATGAAACATCCCTGGGGAACCACTGGCCCAACTTTGTGAAGCAGTATCACCTATCTGTGACATTTCTACGTGGCCTTGAGGGAAAGATGGCAGCAACCAAGACCTGGGTACTCTCTTTCCTGGTCCTGGAGTTCACCACTGTGCTCGGTACGCACTAAGTCCCATAGCTTCTACTTGACACAGAGAAGTCGTTTCTGTTCTGGGACCCAATTATGCATCTGCCTGGCCTGGAGATTTGAGGGTGTTTGATAGTATCTACTCTGAGATCATACTTAGTATTAAAATGCACAGAACAGAATCAAATGGCCAGGATGAGCGGTCACACATGGGGAGGAAGGGAAAGAGATGGGAAAGTTTCTGTCCCTGTGCACCAAATTTAGCTCTGAGCCTCCCGGCAGCCAAAGCAAAAGGGAGTCACAGGGGAACCACGGAGTTCTCAGAAGCAGGTTTGGGGTTGGTCTGTTTTCAGTTGCATGAAAATTCTTCTGGCCCTGAAAACTCAGTTCCTTTACACCCTGAAGTCAGGTTGGATGGACACACCAGACATTGTCCTGGCTTGCTTGCTCTCTGCTCCTGGAGGTGACCCAAAGATCAGAAAGAAGGTGCCTGGCGGAGCTGCCGGCGGCCTGAGATGTCTGTACTTTGCGGAGAACTCTCCCATGTCGCTCGCCTCTTCTCATTTCTCATCACACTGCTGATGCAAAGACTGCTCACAACCCTTTTCAAGCTGCATGCCCCGCAGGCTCGTGACCACAGATGCGGGAACAAAGGCAGCTCCTCCACAGTGCCAGCGCTGTGCGTGCCCGCCTCCTGCCTCGCCCTTTCTACCTTGGCAGCTGCTGTTTGTAAAGATGATTAACATTCAGCCATCTGAGGGGACATCAGATTAGGTTGATTAAAAGGGCTCCCATCACCCCAATTAAGCAGCACAGAGAATTCTGACTTGGCTCCTTGCCTGGGAGTTAATTGCCTTTCAAAGCTTTTGCAGGCCTCCGCTCTTCTTTCTTCTGCTGCTTCTGGAGCCCTCAACCCAGCTTTGTGTAGAGAAGGGCTAGAGAAGGTGGCCCCTGTCCTGAGGACCCTCTGCTCATGAGGCTGTGGTCAGAACAGGGAAGATCACTGGCCCAGTAGGTTCACTGAGTCCTTTATGGGATGGTGGATTTCAGTGTCAGCCCATCAAGAGAAAGGGACAGCCCCCCCCCCCCCACACACACTTTGTGCCAGGCATTGAGCTAGAATAGCTTGCTAACATTTATTCAGTATATGGCATTGTTCTGAGGATTTTGTGAATGAACTCTTAACTCTCCTATTTTTTTGAGGACTGGGTCAGGGGGCTTAAATAGCCTGCCCAAGGGTAGTTAGAACGTGGCAGAGTCTGCAGCCCTCTCCAGAGATACTGGTGTCTCATTTCATGGGACCCTCAGGCCAGCAGCACCTTACAAAGGGGAAATCAGTGTTTCCGCTGTATAAGAAAGGAAAATAAGGCTCCATCTTCCCTGGGACAGGTCTAGACTCCCTAGCAGGAGCCTCAACCTACTAGCTACCTGAAGTATCCATCGGCCCCACTTAAAACTTTTATTTATGTATTGACTTACTATTCCTGTGTGTATGTGTGCGGGGAGGTCAGAGAATAACTTGGGGAGTCTGTTCTCTCCTTCCCTGGGATTGAACTCAGGGTGTCAGGCTTGGTAGCAAATGCCTTTACCTCTCAAGCTATCTCTCTGGCCTTAATTTTTTTAAATTATCATATACTAACTATACGTAAGAATGGGTTTCATGATATCATTTTCATATATGTGTGGTATATCTTGATAAAATTAATTCCCATTGCCCTCTCTTGTCCTCCTTCTACTCCTGCTGACACCCCCTTCTTCCTTCCTTCCTTCCTTCCTTTCTTTCTTTTTTTTTTTTTTTGGAGACAGGGTTTATGTAGCCTGGTTGACCAGTCTAGCCAAGTGCTGAGATTAAAAGCATGCACCGCTAGGCTTGGTCTCTCTCTCTCTCTCTCTCTCTCTCTCTCTTTTTTTTTTTTTTTTTTTTGAGACAGAGTCTCATGTAGCTGAGGCTGGCCAGGAACTTACTATGTAGCCAAGGTTGTCCTTGAACCTCGGACACTCCTGCCTCCTCCACTTCCCAGGTGCTGAGATTACATGCATGTAAAAAGTCCAGCTGCTCATCTGTTTCTAGAACAAGACTGAAAAGGGAATTGTCATTTGTCGAGCACGCCCTCCATGCCAGCCTCGGTGTGTTTTATGGGAAACAGGCCGAGAAAGAAAGCACTTGGGGAGGTTCACAGCAGTGAGCGGCCCAGTGGGGATTTGGACCCATGCTCAGGGTTCATGCTGAATCCACCTCTCCAGACCAGCTCTCTGCATCTTCAAACCCTGTGAGCCCTGGCTTCTCTTCTTCTGTCCTGCAGGGAGACAGATGCTTTCCCAGTCAGTGAGAAGAGTCCAGCCTGCGAAGAGGACCTCTAACACCTTTGCCAAGTCTGCTGACTCCCTGGAGAGTGAGTCTCCATCAGAGCAGGGAGAGTTGGGAGGGGGTCTTTACTGGGCTTGCTAGGTCCGTCTCTGAAGCCTGGGGAGGAAGTTAGGATTTCATGGAAACTATACTTGAACAAGACACTTGGCTGTTCTCGCCGGGCAGAAGAGTGCAGTATAAGAAAGCTCAGAGCCAGGAAGCTGCCTGATGTCTTCTAGAAACGGGGTGCTAGCACACTAGAGCTGGTGGGGATGGAAGGGGTAGAGGAGCATGGAAAAATAGCAGAGTCTCACCCTCGCTGACTTGCTAAGAGATTTTTGTGCCAGAGAATGCTGTGGTCCAAGCCACATGGAAAAAGCTTACCCCATGTACAGTGTTAGAAAGGGGTAGAGTGGGAGGAAGAGATTGGACAGCAAGTCCCTAGCATGGCCCTCCAGGCTGATGAGAGCTGGGATGGAGGGCTCCACATTGTAAGACAGAGAAAGGACTGAAGAGTTGGTGGTGAAATAAGGGGTGGGGGTGGGAAATGGGGATTGAATAGAGACAGGGCGGGTTCTCCCGGATGCATCAGGAAAGGATAGCTGGAGTTCACCTGCTGTTCAGGGATGGTTCCTCCTCAACCTAGCTCTGTCTCTCAGGTCCTGGTGAGTGGACAACTTGGTTTAACATCGACCACCCAGGTGGGCAGGGTGACTATGAGCGATTGGATGCTATTCGCTTCTACTATGGGGAGCGTGTGTGTGCCCGTCCCCTGCGGCTAGAGGCCCGGACCACTGACTGGATGCCTGCGGGCAGCACTGGCCAGGTGGTCCATGGCAGTCCCCGTGAGGGCTTCTGGTGCCTCAACAGGGAACAGAGACCAGGCCAGAACTGCTCCAATTATACAGTGCGCTTCCTCTGCCCACCAGGTGAGTCTGAATGGCCCCAGCCCTTGCCTCTGGGCAGCCTTGGCCCAGGAGAGGCCAGGATTCGGATAGCACATCCCTGCATAAGCTCCCAGTCTTGTAACAGCTACAGAGTCTCATTAGTGTGATAAGGGCCCCAGAACTGCTCCAGCCAACCTGTTGTGTTGCATTCCAGTGACTCCGTAGGGAAGATGGCGCTCATCTAACTTCTGGGGTTTGACTCTAAGTTGCTGTGTACAACTGTGTTGTCTATTTATTCATTATTTATTTTTGTGGTACTGGGGATTGGACCCAGGACATTACGTTAGGCAAGCCCTCTACTACTGAGCTACATCTCCAGCCTTCTGCCCTTTTATCTATTTATTTATTTTTTAAATAATGAGATAGGGTTTCACTAAGTTGCTCAGGCAGGTCTTACAACATATGATTCTCCGGCCTCTGTCCCACGTAGCTGGGATTATAAACATAGGGAAACAAGCCTAGAGCAACTGTATTCCTATAGCCCAGGCTGGCCCTGAACTTCCTATGTAGACTTGGATGACCTTGAACTTCAGATCCTCCTGATGGTGCCAGCTCCCAAGTGCTGGGACTCTAGGTATGTAGCACCAGGCCTAGGGGCTGGGTCTCCAACCCACAGCCGTATGTGTATCAGGCGAGCATTCTATGAGCTGCATCCCCAGTCCTGTTCCCTCCTCCTCCTTTTTTTGGGGGGCGGGGGGAAGTAGGGTCTAGCCCTAGTCTGCCTGGGAATCATTATGTAGCCCAGGCTATGCTTGAACTCCTGACCCTCCTGCCTCTCTCCAGAATGTTGAGATTACAGCCATGTTCCTCTATGCCCAGCTGCATATTTTAGACAGTTTTTTGAGGCTCCTTAGTCTTATGTTCTCACATGTTCCTCAGTGTTAGGGATTTGACGTAGGGCCCTTCATATGCTAGGCAAGCGCTCTTTCACAGAGCTGCATTCCTAGTTCTCTTAAAAAAATTTTTTCTGTATTTTTGTTTTGAGAGAATCTTGATAAACTACCCAGACTGGCCTTAAACTCATGATCCTTCTGTTAGGGGATTATAGCTATTGGCCTCTTACATGTGGAACAGGAGTAACAGTGTATCTTAAGGGTTTACAATTTTAATTTTTTTTTTTTAGTTTTTTTTTTTTCACTGCATAGTTTAGGCTGGCCTCAAACTTACTATGTAGCTCAAACTAGTCCCTATAATCATCTGACTCAGCTTTCCAAGTGCCGTCCCTCCATTCGTGGGAGTTTTGATGACGCTTACGTGAGATAATTAACGAAGCAGTTGAGCCCAGGTTCGCTAAACGTCAACTGCTGCTACAATTTCTGTGTGCAAGATGCTGGCTACCCTCATTATTCAGCCTTGGCAATTGACCTTGAGACTTTGCTATCTCAACAGGCCACACGAGGCTTAGAGAAGTCAAGTTAGTACACCAGCTACACAGCTAAGTGCTACACAGGGATTTGAAACACGTCCATGCTTGCAGAATCCATGTTCTTTATATTTCATTCTATCCACACACTGGACAGTGCAGATATTAAGTGACCTGCTGCAGGCCTGCACTCTGGACAGGCACCCTGCCCCTGGGGCTCTACCTGTCGATACAGACTGATGCTGCAGACCCCGGAGCCTGTGATAGTTTTATGCTGTTGGGAACCCAGCTGTTCTCTTCAGCAAGGGTTGAGCCTCCTTTTTATGCACAGGCTGTAGGAGAGAAGTGAGGATGTAGGCAGGAGTCTGGCTATTTGGGTCATTGTAAACTACAGGCCCTGAATTCCCAGGGAGCCTGTCTTCAGGGAGCATGTGGTTGTTTTCACACTAGTGGAGGGTGATGGGCCGCCGCCAACATAGGTCCTAAGACAACAGTGGAGGACAAAAACAAAACAAAACAAAACACCTTTCACCCATATGTTGCCTCTGTGCAAGTTAGAAACATTACTTCCTCAAGACTCTTAACTTCCCTTGTTAGAAAAAAAAATCATTGTAGGGCTGGGGTGTAGCTCAGTTGGTCAAGTGCTGGCTTAGCATCCACAAAGCAATAGGTTTCGTCTGCAGCAACACCTAAACTGGATATGTGGTAGCCTGCCTCCTTATAATTACAGCAATCAGAAGGTAGAGGCAGGAGGATCAGACATTGGAGGCCAATCTTGGTTACATGAGACTGTCCCAAAAAAAAAAATTTTTTTTTTTCCTGGAGCTGAGGACTGAACCCAGGGCCTTGTGCTTGCTAGACAAGTGCTCTACCACTGAGCTAAATCCCTAGCCTCAAAAATTATTTTTAATTCATTGAAATAAATAGAAATATCGGTGAGGCTTCTGATGTCAGTAGGGACCTTGTGCTCCCGCACCAGAGAAGAAACACTCGTGGGGTCAGACTTCTGACCCAATCCCCTGGGGGAGAAAGTGACTTCTGCTGCTCTCATCTTCCAGGGTCCTTGAGACGAGATACAGAGCACATCTGGAGTCCTTGGTCTCCCTGGAGCAAGTGCTCAGCTGCCTGTGGTCACACCGGGGTCCAGACTCGTACCCGCACGTGCTTGGCACAGACAGTGTCACTGTGCAGTGAGGCCACCGAGGAGGGCCAGCTCTGCGTGAGCCAGCCCTGCACAGGTACCTGCCTCCCTCTGCGCACTGGGCTTCTGTGATAGGTGAGGTTGAAATAGCCTGAAGGATGGGCTAGAGGGTCAGTGAAAGACTGAGTCATTCCTTCACTATCTATCCCTAACTGAGCAGGTCATTTGCTCTGATGGGAGATATACAAGGCAGCTAGGAACACAGGGCATTGTCAATTATCACAGCTTAAGAAATCAGCTGGGCAGTGGGGGTGCATGCCTTTAATCCCAGCATTTGGGAGGCACAGGCAGATGGATCTCTGAGTTCAAGACCAACCTGGTCTACAGGACAGCCAGGACTACACAGAGAAAACCTGTCTTGAACCCTACACACACACACACACATACACAAAACAAAAGAAGAAAGAAAGAATATGAGAGAGAGAGAGAGAGAGAGAGAGAGAGAGAGGAGAAAGCTGGGCGGTGGTGGCGCACGCCTTTAATCCCAGCACTCGGCAGAGGCAGAGGCAGGCGGATCTCCATGAGTTTGAGGCCAGCCTGGTCTACAGAGCAAGATCCAGGACAGGCTCCAAAGCTATACAGAGAAACCCTGTCTCAAAAAACAAAAAACAAAACAAAACAAAAAAAAAAAAAGAAAAGAAAGAAAGGAAGGAAGGAAGGAAAAAAGAAAGAAAAGAAAAGAAACCAGGAAGTTGTATAGAGGAAGTTTCCTGGGCTAAATCTGAAGGGTGAATATGAATTAGTTGTACAGGCAGTAAGAAGGAGTTAAGAAAGACCCAAGGAAGAAAGGAAGGGTGCGTGAACATCCAGGCTGGGATAGGAGGGAAGATGAGTCAGAATCCATAAAGTCCTGCTGATATGGCTCCTTGTCCCACAGCCTGTGACCTGACCTGCCCCATGGGCCAGGTGAATGCTGACTGTGATGCCTGCATGTGCCAGGACTTCATGCTTCATGGGGCCATCTCCCTCCCTGGAGGTGCCCCAGCTCCGGGGGCCACTGTCTACCTGCTGGCCAAGGCACCGAAGATGCTGACCCAGACAGACAGTAGAGGGAGGTTCCGAGTTCCCGGCTTGTGTCCTGATGGCAAGAGCATCCTGAAAATCACCAAGACCAAGTTTGCTCCGATTGTGCTCACGATGCCCAAGACTAGCCTGAAGTCAGCCACTGTCAACGCAGAGTTTGTGAGGGCAGGTGATTAAGTGCCCTGTGGTAGGAGGGTTACAAAGTTGAAAGTTCCTTCCCCGGCTCACTCAGTGTAGAATCTTTGCTATGACCCACAAGCCCTATATCCTCTGGCTTTCCCTAATTTTTTTTTTCTTTATTCCTACTGTGCAGAATCAATCTGTTATAGCCACAATGGCTTGTCTGCTTCTCAAGTATAGATACATCCCTGCCTCGGGGCTTTGGCACTTGCTGTGTGTACTCAGGGTAGAGTGTTCTTCTACTAGATATTGGTAGGTCCAGCACCCTGAGGCATGAGGATTCCCTGACTACCTTGTCTAAAATAGTCAATTACCACAAAGGTTTGTAGGTCCTAGAGGAGCTTGGGAAGTTCAGAAATGGTGTAGAATAGTTCAAAACAAAAACATAACAAAAACCTTGTTCTGCTGGAGGCAGAAGATCATGAATAGTGCACAAGTGAGCCACTTGGTTCTATCCTTTGTAGCACTTAGAGTGTGGCTGACACCAGGTCCCAGCATTCTCCACTGTCCCATCCAGAGGCTACCAGAGAAGTTTGGGAACAGGTCCCAGATGGAGAGGATGGAGGAGGGGAATCCACTGGTGGTCAGTTCCTTTGGGTATTAGGAGGGCACCAGAGATGGGCAGTGGGTAGGATAAAGCCATACAATTTCAATACCGCCGAAGACCCTGAGGAAGCAGGGCTCTCTAGAGCCTGTCACAAAGTAAGAAACCCGACACCGTTTCTCATCTTCTCCCCCAGAGACTCCATACATTGTAATGAACCCGGAGACGAAAGCACGGCGGGCCGGGCAGAGTGTGTCCTTGTGCTGCAAGGCCACAGGGAAACCCAGTCCAGACCAGTACTTCTGGTGTGTATTCTCTCAGCCACCCTCCCCAGTTCTCTCAGAAATTGGGGCTTGCCTGCCTTGTTTCTAGACCAAACCGTAGCAATGGCTCATAGAATAAAGGCACATGTGGGCTACTGGTGCAGTGCCTGAATAATGGCGTTTACAAGTGGGGGGTCTGCAGGGTTGTTGATCAGACAACCAGCCAACCCTCTTACACCTCAAAGCTCAGCTCACTCTCCCAAAACATCTCTCTCTCTCTCTCTCTCTCTCTCTCTCTCTCTCTCTCTCTCTCTCTCTAAGATTGGATTTCTCTATGTAGCCCTGGTTCTCCTGGAACTCGATCTGTATACCAAGCTGGCCTCAAATTCAGAGATTCACCTATCTCTGCCTCCTGAGTGCTAGGATTAAAGCATGCACCACCATGCCTGTCTCCAAAATGTCTCTTGACCTTAGTTAGGGTCCTAACATGCATGTTCCTATACCAATCAGCAAGATTCTTCAGTTCTGCTTCCCCCAGCAAGGTCAGAATCCCCAATGCTAGGGGTGAGTTCTTTACCCTCCAATAAGCACATATTGCCACTAGCTTGTTTAGAATGCCAACAGTTCTGGGAGGTCAGTTGGAGATCAGCGCTCTTGTTTTACAGAGCAGGAAGCTGTAATTCAGAGAGGTGTGAGGATTTGTCTAAAGATCCCCCATCAATTAAGAGGTGGGGCTGGGGCTTAGAAGCAGTTTCCCAACTCCCAGGCAATCAGGTGCTCTTGGGCAAGCCAAGTGAAAGTGAACCATTCCCAGTCCCCTGCTTCCCGGCACATCTTCAGGTTTACCTCTCCTCTTGTGGCCCACTGGGGCTCTACCTCTGCATCCTTACAGGTACCACAACAACACATTGCTGGATCCCTCCCTCTACAAGCATGAGAGCAAGCTGGTGCTGAGGAACCTGCAGCAGGACCAGGCAGGGGAGTACTTCTGTAAGGCACAGAGTGATGCTGGGGCTGTGAAGTCCAAGGTTGCCCAGCTGACTGTCATCGGTAAGCCTGTGTGGGTCTCAGGGGCCCTGGGTCTACATCAGGGCTGGCTGAGCACTACTCCAGTCGGCATCACTGGGCAGGAAAAGCTTGGGGTTTTCTATGATGTGTACAGTACCAGGCCCTCCGGGATGTAATGAAGAGCTATGTCTTGCTGTCGCAGCACCATCATTTGAGGTGTGTGTGTGTGTGTGTGTGTGTGTGTGTGTGTGTGTGTGTGTGTATAGAAATGTAAATAAAATTCAATCAAGACAAAAACATGTAGGGCCTGGGGATGCTGCTCAGTTGGTACAGCACTTGTCTAGCATGAATGAAGCCCTTGGTTCAGTCCCCAGCACTGCAAAAACCCAGAAGATGAAAGTAAGGGGGTCAGAAGGTCACGATCATCAGCAGCTACATCATCAGTTTGAGATAGCTTTGGCTACATGAGATCCTGTCAACTTGCCCCTGAAATTCAGAAAAAAATGTAGCTAAAATAGGAGCCCAGGCCCTAATAGACAAGAAATAGATCCCTTCCAGATAGCTAAGGCATGGTAGCACATGCCTGTAATCTCAGCATTTGGGAGGTAAGGGGAGGATCAGGAATTCAAGGTCATCTTCTCTTACATGGTGGGTTCAAGGCTAGCCTTGACTATATAAGACTTTATCTCAAAAATCCAGGCCTCCTCCAAAAATAAAAACCCCAAAACTGATATTGTGCAGTGACCCCCAGGAGTCTGATTGTTGTCTGAGGTGTGGCCTGGGCATGCATGGCTTCAAAGCTCCTCACTTCATTCTGCTTTGCAGTGAAGGTTGGCCAGTCCTGATCTTAGAGAAGCCTCAGCACAGTGTGTGGAGGGAGAAGTGTTATGGATTGTGGGGCTATAGAAGCAGGGGACTGAGCATGTGTTATACGAAAGGGTGACCTGATTAAAGCTGGCTTCTAGAAGAAAACTGGAGGGGCAAGGACTTCAAGCCAAAGGCCTATCAAACCTGTCTTGGACAGTGAGGGGAAGAGGATATCTTAGGAATTGGCCTAAATGGAATAAAACAAAGCAGAGGAAATGAAAATTCATTGGAAGAATTATGGAATATTTCACAGACTCCAAGAAAATTGAGCAACAGACCTCAGAACAGACAAGGCAAAGGGCCTTTAGTGGAGGAAGCGAGGAGTGTGCCAGCTGTCACAGCAACACACCCTGCTGCCACAGTGATCCTTTCATGATACTTTACTATTCGGAAGTTCAGTTGACAGATAACAACTGCATATTCTTTCCAAATATGTGTGTATACTGCTTTAAGTTTAACATAAAGGGGAACTAAAGAGAAAATGGTGTTAATGCGAAATAGAATTGTGTCAACAAGCCGGGCAGTGGTGGCGCACGCCTTTAATCCCAGCACTTGGGAGGCAGAGCCAGGCGGATCTCTGTGAGTTCGAGGCCAGCCTGGGCTACCAAGTGAGTTCCAGGAAAGGCGCAAAGCTACACAGAGAAACCCTGTCTCGAAAAACCAAAAAAAAAAAAAAAAGAAAAAGAAAAAGAAAAAAAGAATTGTGTCAACAGCTAAAAGCTTTGGCACAACAGCTAAGAAGAGAGAGCTGACATCTGTGCTTACTGAAGAGTGACCATGGATGTGACCTATAAAGGTTGATGGGTACAGAGGTGGCATCCCAGTGGTTTAGTCTTTGAATACGACTATTATAAAGACATCATTTTTTTTCAATTGAGAAACAATTCTGGGCATTGTTCCAAGCTAAGCAAAGTGGAGTCTTATATTGATTCATGTGGTAGTTGAAGTCTTGAGAACTTCAGTGTATGGTAGAGGCCATGGGGAAAACACCAGGCTGCCATTACTTTAAACAGGGCTTGTTTTTGCTTGTTTGTTTGTTTTTGGTTTTGTTTGTTTGTTTTGAGACAAGGTTTTATATAGCCCAGTCTGGCCTCAAACCCATTATATGGCCAAGAATGACCTTGAGTTTATGATCCTTCTGCCTCTACCTCCCAAGTGCTAGGATTATAAGTATGTGTCACCATGCCCAGGTAAAACAGGGTTTCTGGGGTTACAGAGATGGCTCAGTGGTTAAAAGCACTGGCTACTCTTCCAGAGAACCCAGGTTCTATTCCTACATGGTAACTTAAAACCATCTGTAACTCCAGTTCCAGGGGATCCAATGCCATCTTCTGGCCTCCATGGACAGTCTTCTGGCCTCTGTAGGCACAGAAACACACAGGCAAAACACCCATGTATACAAAATAAAAACAAGAAAAACAGGGTTTCTGCCTACACGAATGTTTCCTGAGATGCATGAAAATCCCCAAGGATGCAAGAAGTGCCTGTCATTGCAGGACACAGGTCACGAATAGCTCCTTTCTCTTATATGCCAGCAACACCTCCAATTTTGCTGATAATCTCAAAACACCCTCACATTTTCAAGATCCCTCCATTGAGAACTGCTATTCTACTGACCTCGTGCATGTATAAACAGGTTAGTAATAGCTGTCCCATATCCCCAAGAAAGTTCTAAGAGAGTCACGGTTGCAGACATATAAGTCCTTTGAAAACTGTAGAAAGGAAGGGATGTGGCTCAGTGGTAGAGCAATTGTCTAGCATACACAAGGCACTGGGTTCAATTCCTAGCACTACCACCACACACACACACACACACACACAAACACATACACCAAGCTTGGAGGCACATACTTAGCGATCCCAGCACTTGGGTGGTAGAGGCAGAAGGATCATGAATTTAAGATCATTCTAGGCTACAGCACAAGCTTGAGGCCAACCTGGGCTATGTGAGACCCTGTCTCAACAAAACAAAAACAAAATCAAGAGAGATGAGAAAGAGAGAGGGAAGGAGAGAGAGAGAGGAGAGAGACAGAGAGAGAGAGAGAACACATTGAGTTGAAGTACTCTGTGTAAGACATGAATTTACACTTTAACATCCACACCATTCTTCTTTAGCACATGATGAGAGTCCTTGCAACCCAACCCCTGAGAGCTATCTTATCCGGCTGCCCCACGACTGCTTCCAGAATGCCACCAACTCCTTCTACTATGATGTAGGCCGCTGTCCGATCAAGACCTGTGCAGGGCAGCAAGACAATGGGATCCGGTGCCGGGATGCTGTGGAGAACTGTTGTGGCATCTCCAGAACAGAAGAGAGGGAGATCCAGTGCAGTGGGTACACACTACCCACCAAGGTGGCCATGGAGTGCAGCTGCCAGCGATGTGCAGAGACACGGAGCATCGTGAGGGGCCGAGTCAGTGCGGCTGACAACGGAGAGCCCATGCGCTTTGGCCATGTGTACATGGGGAATAACCGTGTGAGCATGACTGGCTACAAGGGCACGTTCACCCTCCACATCCCCCAGGATACGGAGAGGCTAGTGCTCACATTTGTTGACAGGCTGCAGAAGTTTGTCAATACTACCAAAGTGCTGCCCTTCAACAAAAAGGGGAGTGCAGTGTTCCATGAGATCAAGATGCTTCGGCAGAAAGAGCCTATCACATTGGAAGCCATGGAAACCAACATTATCCCCCTGGGAGAGGTGGCTGGTGAAGACCCTGTGGCTGAACTGGAGATTCCATCCAAAAGTTTCTATAGGCAGAATGGGGAGCCTTTCACAGGAAAGGTGAAGGCCAGTGTGACCTTCCTGGATCCTCGGAATATTTCCACGGCCACAGCTGCCCAGAGTGACCTGAACTTCATCAATGATGAAGGAGACACCTTTCCCCTTCGAACATACGGTATGTTCTCAGTGGACTTCAGAGACGAGGCCACTTCTGAGTCACTCAATGCTGGCAAGGTGAAGGTCCACCTAGACTCGACCCAGGTCAAGATGCCAGACCATGTGGCAGCCATGAAACTCTGGTCGCTCAACCCAGACACAGGACTGTGGGAAGAGGAAGGCGATTTCAAATTTGAAAGCCAGAGGAGGAACAAGAGGGAAGAGAGAACCTTCCTAGTGGGCAACATGGAGATCCGAGAGAGAAGGCTCTTTAACCTGGACGTCCCTGAAAGCCGAAGGTGCTTCATCAAGGTGAGAACTTACCGGAGTGAGAGGTTCTTGCCCAGTGAGCAAATCCAGGGGGTTGTAGTCTCGGTGATCAATCTGGAGCCCAGAACTGGCTTCTCATCTAACCCCAGGGCCTGGGGCCGATTTGACAGTGTCATCACAGGCCCCAATGGGGCTTGCCTGCCTGCCTTCTGTGATGACCAGTCCCCTGACGCTTACTCCGTCTATGTCTTGGCAAGCCTTTCTGGAGAAGAACTAGAGGCAGTAGAGTCTTCTCCTAAATTCAACCCAAATGCAATTGGTGTCCCTCAACCCTACCTCAACAAACTTAAATACCGTCGGACAGACCATGAGGATCCACGGGTTAAAAAGACGGCTTTCCAAATCAGTATGGCCAAGCCGAGACCTAACTCAGCTGAAGAGAGCAATGGACCCATCTACGCCTTTGAGAACCTTCGGGCGTGTGAAGAGGCACCGCCCAGTGCGGCCCACTTCCGGTTCTATCAGATTGAAGGGGATCGCTATGACTACAACACAGTTCCTTTCAGTGAAGATGACCCCATGAGCTGGACTGAAGACTACCTGGCATGGTGGCCCAAGCCAATGGAGTTCAGGGCCTGCTACATCAAGGTAAAGATTGTGGGGCCCCTGGAGGTGAATGTACGATCCCGCAACATGGGGGGCACCCACCGGCAGACCGTGGGGAAGCTCTATGGGATCCGAGATGTGAAGAGTACTCGGGACAGAGACCAGCCTAATGTCTCATCCGCCTGCCTGGAGTTCAAGTGCAGTGGAATGCTCTATGACCAAGATCGTGTAGACCGCACGTTAGTAAAGGTCATCCCCCAGGGCAGCTGCCATCGGGCCAGTGTTAACTCTATGCTGCATGAGTATCTGGTCAACCACCTTCCATTAGCAGTCAACAATGACACCAGTGAGTATACCATGCTGGCACCCCTGGACCCCCTGGGCCATAATTACGGTATCTACACGGTCACTGACCAGGACCCTCGTACAGCTAAGGAGATTGCACTTGGCCGGTGTTTTGATGGCACTTCTGATGGCTCCTCCAGAATCATGAAGAGCAATGTGGGAGTTGCCCTGACCTTTAACTGCGCAGAGAGGCAGGTAGGCCGCCAGAGTGCCTTCCAGTACCTCCAAAGCACACCCGCCAGGTCCCCAGCTGCAGGCACTGTCCAAGGAAGAGCACCCTCCATGAGGCAACAGCGGGCAAGCAGGGGTGGCCTGCGCCGGCGTGAAGGAGTGGTCCCTCTGAGGTTTTCTGGGGTTGCTCAACAACCTCTGAGCAACTAAGTCTGGTGGGTCTTCATAGTCCTCCCTGTCCACCTCAGGTGACAGCTGTTGTGAGACTTTTGCACGAATTGTCACTTGTTAATTTAAACACATCTGTTTTGGTGCATCCTGCTTCTCTGTACCTTTACTTCTTGTCTCTATCTCATGATGCTGGTTGGCACATGGCCCCCAGGATGACAAAATAAAGATCCCTTTTTAAAAAGAAACAAAAGGAATGGGTACACTTCTGCAACTTTGGCTCTTCATTTTCCTGTGACTGCAAATACACTTCTTTTGTATGGTTTTACCAGCCTCTATACTAATGATAATTTAATACAAGTGAAACAAATGAACAGTCTAAAGCATATTTCTTGGCCATGTTCCACAAAAATGTAAGCAAAGCCTTTGTCAAAGTTCATATATATATATAAATGGTGGTCAAATAAGGAAATAAACGATAATATTTTTCTTGAAATGCAATTAACATTTCTTTTTAAAATTTATTTATTTAATATATAATTTATTTTTATTTTATGTTCATTGGTGTTTTGCCTGCATGTATGTCTGTGAGAGGGTGTCAGAAGCCCTGGAACTGACATTACAGGCAGGTGTGAGCTGTCATGTGAGTGCTGGGAATTGAACCAGGGTCCTCTGGAAGAGTAGCCAGTGCTCTTAACCACTGAGCCATCTTTCCAGTCCTTTAACATTTATTTCTTCAGCAAATTTGGGACTCTGGTATACATGTAATTGTAGGTGATTGAAGTTTTTTTTTTAATTTATGTGTATGTGTGTGTATCTGTGTGTGTAGGTGCCCAAGAAGTCCAGAGGGCATTCGATTCCCTGAAACTGGAGTTAGAGGTGGTTTAAAGTCATCTGATGTGGGTTCTGAGAGCAGAACCAGGATCCTCTGTGAGGGTGATAAGCACTCCTAAGTGCTGAGCCATCTCTCCAGCCTCCAAAGATATTGAATGGAGGGTTATCACAGTTTCTCCAACTCTGGGAAGAATATCTTAGTCCCCACAGTTACATCAGATTGCTAATTGTGTATATTTCTCTTTTGAGACAGGGTTTCTTGTGGTGAATTCTGGCCCCAAATTTACTATAAAGCTTAGGATGACCTTGAACTCCTGGTATTTCTGCCTTCATCCACCAAGTACTGGGATTAGGGACAAACATCACTGCACCTAGTTTTATGTGGTGCTGGGGGTCAAACCCATGACTTTATGCATGCCGGGCAAGTCCTCTACAAACTGAGTGACATCCCCAGTCCTCTGTGTGTCCCTTTATAGTTAGTTGCTTTTGTTCTTGTTAGAAGCCCTGCAGAGCCAGGGCAGATGTCCACAAATGCACATTCTGTGCTTTGGCTTTGAGGCTGCCATGCTGTCCTCCAGCCTTTAAATTACGCCAGATGTTCAGAGCACAGGGGTGTTGGAAAGCAGGGCCAAGGTGCAAGTCCCAATGTCCCTAAGTTACAGGGCTGGGCACCCCCAGCAACCACATTTCTTCTCTTAGCTCATATTTTCCATTTTCAGAGAAAAGCAGAGATTCCTGGAGTTGTGAGCCTGTTCTGGGCTCCTAAGCAAGACTTAAAAAAATATGTCCCAATTTTTCTCTTTTTTTTTTTTTTCCTGCATGAAGGAGATTATACAATAGCTGGCCTAGGATCTGGCATTCTGGCCAAGTGGTCCTTTGGCTTCTCCCAAGTCTGTTGTCTCATTCAGCTGGTCTGGTTGACCTTGCTCCAAACGACGGGCTTTCTCTTTCTCTGTTTTCAAGTTCTTCCACAGACACCCCACTTTTCTAGACTGCAGGCCTCTGATGTGGGTAACACCTCTCCCTGGAGTGAAACAATGGGTCTACAGGATTTGGTTTTTGGTTTAAACAGTTTGAAATAGTGGGCATGGGAGCACACAAGCTTGAATTGTATTCCAGCATTTGGGAGGTGGAGGCCGGAGAACCAGGAGCTCAAGACCAGCCTAAGCTTCAAAGTAAGGCTATCCTGGGCTACATAAGCTCCTCCTTGAAAAATCAGAACCAAACAACCAGTCAGGAGGTGGGAAGCGGAACTGGGATGGAATTGAAACTACTTCAAAACTGTCAGGAAAACAGGTCATGGAGGGTTGGAGGAAGACAAGGCGTTATTTATAATCAGGACAAAAAATTTCCCTGGTCAGTCTGAGCATCTTTGGCCACCACTATGCTGTGTTGGATTCTCAGATCAGCATCTGCCTAGCTCCTGGGAGTGCAGTTTATAATCAATTGGAAATGTCTCTGGTGTGCACACGGTCCCAGGTTCCTACCCCAGCACAGCAAAACAAACAAGCAAACATGGAACAGCACTGACTCATGGCTTGTTCTCCGCTGTGGCGTCTGTTTATTTTCTGGACCAAATGTTCACCTCAGAAAAGACCTCAGTTTTTATTCTCAGCCAGTGCTATGCTGGCTGATCACTCAATAGTGAGAGTGAATTTTACCAGGATAGATGTGTCGTAGCAGTAGGAAAAAGCAGGCAGGAAGCCACACAAGAGGGGCCAGGCCCGCTGCTCTGCTCATAAATAGGAAGTTTGGCCATCTCCAGCATCTGGGGTGCTGGAGCTAAGTCACTAATTGTCGAGACAAGAACAGAGTCTGTGGAGCTTGAAAAGATATAAGCAAATTTGGAGGCAACGCCCTGTCTATGCAGTGGTGGGGATCAAACCCTGAGAGCCATGCATGCTGGGCACCACACCGTCAGAGCTACACCCCAGCTCTTCTTGTCTGTGTGGCCATTTTGATGCAGTTCTCTTATACAGTACAAAGGACAGACCCCACTTCGTTCTTCGGCATGTGATTATCCTGTTGACCCGGCACCATTCGGTGAAAAAGTCTTCTCCACTGAACGGTCTTGGCAGCCCTGATGAAAATCGATTGACTGTCAACGACCTGATCTATGAATTTACCAGTCTCTTCCTTTGCTTTTGCTATTACAGCAGTACTGTTGGCCTTCCTGGTGGCTGCAGTTTTGAAAGCAGGAAGTGTGACTCCCCCAACATGATTTTCAGTTACTTGGAATGCTTCGGTTTTGTCCTCATGCTTGAAAATTACTATCTGTGCCCTTTAAAAATTTCAAACTAGCCGGGCGGTGGTGGCGCACGCCTTTAATTCCAGCATTTGGAAGGCAGAAGTAGGCGGATCTCTATGAGTTCGAGGCCAGCCTGGTCTACAGAGCGAGTTCCAGGGTAGCCAAGGCTACGCAGAGAAACTCTGCCTCGAAAAACAAAAACAAACCCTCAAACAAGTGTTTCCTGGCATTGTCTTCAGGATTTGGAGTTCCACTGGGTTAGCTTCAAGAACCAATTCACCACCGCGCCCAGAGTCCAAGGGAAGTGTGGTAAACTAGTGCCCCCTGCTGACCATCTCTCTAAAAACAGCAGGATGATAGCGTCCCCTGCCTCCATTTCTGAGGTCTTCCACCCCAAAGCACTGCCACTGGAGATCGGGGAGTCCTGAGGTCTCCTTCATTTCACTATAACACAAAACGTGAGCAATGACCCTGGTGGAAAAAAGCCAAAAAGAGAGATCTCAGGAAACTTAGGCTTGTGCTACCATAGGGGAGTCATTCCTCACTGCTCCAGCAACAGAAAATAGGTTCCTCAGCTGGGAATGTAGCTCAGTTGATAGAGTGCTTGCCTAGCATGCACGAAGCCCCCCTTCAATTCCCAACACCAAGCAAACCAGACATAGTACCCATCGCCTGTCATTCCAGCTCTTGGGAGGCGAAGGCAGGAGGATCAGAAGTTCAAGGTCATCGTCCACTGTGCTGTGAGTTTGAGACCAGTTTGTGCTACCTGGGGCCCTGTCTCAAACAAACAAACAAACAAATAAAATATTCCTGAGTCCTAATCCAGAGTATTTTATCAAAGCACTTTGGATTTTGGGGCAGGGACTTAGGTGTATAAAAACCAACACCCTCATGCTTTTTCTCTTTGATATAGGATCTTGCTGTTTACTCCTGGCTGACCTTGAACTTTCAGTCCTCTGCCTTCCCAGTGGTGAGATTACAGGCATGAACCACACCCAGCCACTCCAGGATTTTTTTTTAATTTTTAGTATTTGTGTGTGTGTGTGTGTGTGTGTGTGTGTGTGTAACTTTATGCCAAGTGTGTAGGTGCCTTTGGAAGTCAGAAGAGGGAGTCTGATCCCCTGGAGGTGGATTTATAATAGACTGACCCAGTGCAGTAACTGAACTCGGTTCTTCTGAAACAAAACAAAACACTCCTAACCACTAAGCCATGCTCCCCCTCGGGGGTGTGTGTAATTTTAAGAGAATGAAGAATGGTAGGTTCTTGTCTTAATGAAGCAGTGGAGTTTTAATCCTTGAAGTGAGATATTTCTAAGTAAGGGGTAGAGATTCTGCAAATCTAAAACCTCACTATCATTTGAAGGAGGAAACAGGGGAGAAATGGGAAGTCCATATGGGAGGCTTAAGTCTGAGTCCTGCTTCAGCTAGCTTGGGCCAGTCCGTTAAACCCAAGTGCTGACAGTTGGCTACACCTCAGGCTGTTGTGAGGACTGGATTAAAATACAGATGTGAAAAAGGCACTTTCCTCTTACACAAGTATGTGTGGTGTGCATGTGTGCATGTGTATGTAGGTGTGGACACACCCTCAAGGGCCCCTGGTTGACAGCATCTGTCTTTTTCAATTTCTTTTTACCTTATTCACTGAGGCAGAGGTCCTTATTGGAACCCAGAGCTTCTTGATAAGGCTAGACTGGCGAGCCAGCTCGGACTGCTGAGCTACCTCTGCAGCCCTCACTTGCTTTCCTGAGACAGCGGCTCACTCGTAGCCCAGGCTAGCCTGAACCCAGCATGTAGCCCAGGCTGCCTTCCCAGCGGTAGCCGTGCTTCCACCTCAGTCTCCGAAGTGCTTTGATTCCAGGCAGGGGCCGCTGCGCCTGGCTGTAGAGGTTTTCAAAACTGTGAAGTTCTGTACGATGGTGGCTCACGTCACCTACAGACGCAAACCCTTATCTATGTGCGTGGCATGTTTGTGTGTGTATATTCACATGTTGCGACATACGCATGCTTGCACACTTGTGTGTTTGTGGAGGCCAGAGGCTGACTTTCAGAAGTCTCCCACCATTATTCTCCCACCTTATTTTTTG